GAGGAAGGACCAGGAGGAAGGGAGGGATGGAGCAGGGACCAGGAGGAAAGGAGGGATGGAGCAGGGACCAGAAGGAGGGGACAGGGGGAGAGGAGTGGAGGAGGGGTGGTGCATTGGGGGTGGAGGATGGAGGAGGAGGGATGGAGCAGGGACCAGGAGAGGGGGAGGAGAGCAGGTGGAATGAGGCTGGTGAAAGAATGCTGTACTTTCAGCTTGTTGAGCTGGAACATGGACTGTATTAATGGTATAATGTGAAGTCCAGCTAGAAGGAGCCAGGGCCCAGGGAGCCAGGACCAGGGATGGCTTTTTCCCTCAGACAGGCCTGGGGTCAGGCATGGTTTTGTACCTCTTCAGGGTACTCACCCCCTATGTCTTTGTAGTGTTTAGTCAGGGAGGTACCCCCCGCCCCATAAACACACAGGCCTCTAAGGCCCACACAAGGAGGGATTGGGGGCTAGCTAGGCTTTGGCCCTGCCCAGCACAGCCCTGATAGGCCTTGGGATGAGGTAGCCCCCCAGAGTCGGTCCAGGTCCAACAATGTGTGTGTTGGGTGTGGGGGGCAGGGTTGTTGACAGATTCATTGACAAGTCTAGGAAATTGTTCTCAGGAGATGCTTTTGGGCCTGTGCAAAGTTGGGCACCTGCTGCCTCCTGCCCTGGGGAGGCTACCTGGCCCTACTTCCCCAGGTTATAGTCTACCCCCTGCCTCTCTGTCTCCTCAATGCAGCTGCCCCATCCCAGAGACTTTGGGGGATTAATGGATGGGCTAGGGTTCTTCTCATTCTCAATGTTCCTGTGGAAGGACACAGAGAGTGCCCTAGACCTGAAGTCCTGCGGGCACGCAGTAGAAAGAGGCCTCAGAGGTCAGCCCCCTCTGAACACATCCCACAAATGGCCCCCTCCAGTGTCCCCTTGAAGCCCTCTGGTGATGGAAAGCTCACTACCTCACAGAGAGGCCAGGGCAGGCCTGAGGCTGTTACCTTCTGGTAGGTGATGGGTTCCTGGCGGTTTTGCCGTAGTTTTTTCAGCAGCACCTTGTCCTTGCGCAGATCAGTCTTACAGCCCACCAAGATGATGGGTACCCCTGGGCAGAAGTGCGTCACCTCCGGATACCACTGTCAGGGCAAAAAAGGGAGACCATGAGTCAGACCTCTCTACCTCCAGGGGAAACGGGGGAGCTTAGCCTGTCCTCGCACCAAAGGAGGTAGGCCAGTCTCAGTTTTCTCACCTATCAAATGGGACAATAATAGCACCAGCCTCCCAGAGAGCTGTTGCAAGGCTGCGTTGATCCTAGGAAGCCCCATCAAATTACTGGCTCGGGTTAGCTACTGTCGTGACCTGCCAGGACTTCTAGTAGCCGGCCTGCTTGGAGTCGTTTGTGCAGCGGTAGGGATGAGCTGCCCTGCACTGTCCACTCGCCCACATGGACCTCACCGCTGAACAGAGCAAGGTTTACTAACCCCCAGGAGGCTTACGCCGTCCCAAGCTCCTGTATTGTTAGCACTGGGTTCTAATCTTACAGCTAGTCTGAGACTTTGAGGCTGGGGGAGTCCACGGCCCAAGGGGAGCTGCTTCTGAGACTTCACAGCCAGGTCAGGCCCCTGGCCCTCCTGCCTGGGAGTGGCCTGCAGCCTCCAGATTGGGGTAGAGTCCCAACTCCAGCAGCCATAGGACTAGGCACTCACCAGCTCCCAGTGAGGAGGTCAGATCATACAGACTCGTGGCTTTTCAAGATGGCAGGGACCAGCACACAGGTATGAAATCACCAAATCAGAATTTGAACCCAGGCCCTTGAACTCCAAATCCAATATTTATTCTGCTTCTCCCCACGGTCTGCTTATGGAAAATCCCCTGAGGGGCTGGGAAAAGTTGGACCTTTCAGTAGGAGGGAGACAGGGGGGGCATCTCCTATCACCGCACCCTGGTGCGCTAACCTTGGAAAGGATGTTGTCAAAGCTGTTGGGGCTCATGACATCATAGCACATGAGCACCACTTGGGCATCAGCGTAGGACAGTGGACGGAGGCGGTCATAGTCTTCCTGTCCTGCAAGTGACCAGTGAAAGAGAGCAGTTAATTGTCCAGCCTGCCCCAGAGATGCCCAGGGAGGGGGTGCCTGCAGAGGACACAGCCCAAGGTGCGATGCCCTGCTGGGAAATGTCTTTGCCTGGCTGTGCCAGAGGCAGCCCTGCCCTTCTGGGCTCCTGGAGGCTCAGAGCTAACACCTTCTAGGGGTTAGGCCTGGCTCTCCCGTCCCCTTCGTTTATTTTACTTAAATTATTATTTACTGCTAAACAGCACTAAAAAACAATTCGACACCAAATTCTGTCTATTTATATTTTTAAATAAATGTTGAAGTGTAAAATGTCTCTCTAGCACCTCAGCAGCACTCCCTCCCTGCCCCTTCCATTTTGGCTTCGTCTGCTTTGGAAGACTGCAGTCAGTGTGTGGTGGGGCATTGATTGGGCCGTCCCTGGTTGCTCGTCACTGTCACCGTCACCGTGTGTGCCTAGCAACAGGAGAAGGGCCGAAGGAGACCAGATTCATGGGCTGCCAGAGCGGGGAGGGCGCTTGGGCTGTGGAATCCCAGAGGGGAGAGGAGCCTAGAACACAACACAAAATGGCGGTCTCTGGGTAACCGCTAGCAAAGTGCTGCTGCCCTAGGGAAAGGGGAAGGGGAGGGAGGGAAAGAATTCAGAACTCAAAATTGAAAGAAACAAATGTCCGAGATTGTTTTTACATGGAATTGGAAAAAAATCAAAATATTTTTAAAAAGAAAAAAGAAAGGAATGCAGGTTCTTAAGCTTATTTGCAGCCCAGATCCATTTGGCAGTCTGATGAAGCCTGTGGACCCTTCTCAGAATCACATTTTTAAATGCAAAGAATGTAACGCATAGAATTACAAAGGAAACTGGTTATTTTGAAAAACACTGATCAAATAAAACACTGGCCCTGTGGTCAGGAGGACCTGAGTTCAAATCCAGCCTCACATACTTACTTACTAGCTATATGACCCTGGGCAAGTCACTTAATCCCAATTGCTTCCCCCCCCAAAGAAAACAAAAAAAACCCCAAAACAAGGTGCTTTGGATGCGCTATGCACGTGCTAATTATTAGCTGTTATTCTAAAAATGTTTTTTTAGAAACAAGTTCATGGACCCCAGGTTAAGAATTCCTGCACGTGGAATGTTAGAGCATCAGAACTGGGAGGAACCGTTAGAACATAGAATGTCATGTAATTGGAAAAAATAAAATCCTATTTAAAAAAGAACATGGAATGTCAGCATTGGGGGGGAAGGTTAGAACAAAGATAATGTCACAGCTGGTTTGTTATTATTTAGTCGTTTTTCAGTCGTGTCTGACTCTCTGACCCCATTTGGGGTTTTCTTGGCAGAGATGCTGGAGGGGTTTGGCATTTCCTTCTCCAGCTCATTTGACAGATGAGGAAACTGAGGCAGATAGGATGAAGTGACTTGCCCGGGTCATACAGCTAGTAAGTGTCTGAGGTATCATTTGAACTCAGGAAGATGGGGTCTGTCTGACTCCAAGCCCTGGGCACTCTATCCACCACTGTGGTACCACCTAGCCGTCTGTCAGAGCTGGGAGGGGCCTTCCCACAGAATGTCAGGACTGGGGAGGGCCATCTTTTCACAGTGGAAGAAGTCAAGGCCTAGGGAAGTCATGAGACTTTCCCTGCGTCACACTGCTGTGGTCCAGGAGATCCTACTCTAGGGCACCAGCCTGTACCCTGCTCTCAGAAGCTCCCGATCTACTTGGAGAATGCGGACTCAGTCACCTGTGGAACACTGGGAGAACAGCAAAAGAGAGGGGAAATCAAAGGCTGTGTATGGCACAGAGGCTTTCCTCATTTGTACAGTGGGGGGCCCTGACTTGTCAAGGGAGGGAGAGATGGCAGCGTTGAAGGAGGGCCTCCTGAAGGACGGGGAGCATTTTAATTTGCCAGCCTTGGACTCTGCCTGCCAGAACCCTCTGTGCCGTGCTGACCTGCTCACCAGGGCAGAGTCACCTGGGCAAGGGGTTGGGGGTGGGGCAGGAGCCCCACAGCCCTGCCCAGTCCAGAGAACTGTGGGAGAGACTTGGTCCTCTGAGACCTGGCTTCACTCCCCGCCTTGGACTCATCTGGCAGGAGCTGTACAAGGTGGGCACCTCTCACAGCAAAGAGTAGGCTTTTGTGTGTGGGAGCCAGAGAAGGGCAGAGGCGCTGATCGAGGGCAGGCCAGTGACCTGTGATCAGACAGGTATGGCCATCACTTCCTGAGCTGCTCCCTGCCTCATCTCGGACTTCTCTGTGCACACTGCTCTTTGGGACTGGAAGCTCTCGGGAGGCAGGGCCGGGATCAGGTCTCAACTCTGCAATGAGTCCAGGGGTGTTGGCATACATCCGGGGCGGGGGGAGGAAGGTGGGGACATGTCTGGGGGGACAGTTAGTGCAGGTGCAAGCCCTCGTCTCCTCCCTCCCCTGTCCTTGGGGCCCTGACCCCTTGGAAGGCAGGTGCATTTAAGTTGGGGCTTAGGGTTCTAATCCTCTGGAATCTTCCCCACGCCATCCATCCCCCACCTCTCGCTTCCCCAATCTAGCTGATGCGGTGAGCTTACCTGCTGTGTCCCAGAGGTAGAGATTCACAGGTTTGCCATCAAGCTGCAAGGCCATGGAATACCGCTCAAAGACAGTGGGTACATAGGTCTGAGCAGAAGGAGAGAAAAGGCATTTAATGGCAGAGGGAGACTAGAGGTCCCCAAGAGTCCACTGGAGTCTAGGATGTAGAGGCATCTTGCCAAGTTCTGTGAATACAAGAAAGGCAAAAGACAGTCACTGCCTTCAAGGAGCTTCCAGTCTGATAGGGGAAACACCAGGCAAACAAGAGATGGACAGATAGATTGGTGCTAATCTATGAAGGGAAGGCATCCTGTAGAAAGGGGATTTTAGATATGAGCAGGGAGAGCCTTCCAGGTGTAGGGGACAGCCAGAGAAAATGCCCAGAGCCCAGAGAGGGAGGGTGTCCCCAGGAACAGCTAGGGGGCCAGTACACAGAGGAGGAGGGTGTAAGAAGCCTGGGTGGGGGAGGGGGAGGTCATGAAGGGTTTTGAACACCAAACAGAATTTTGGGTTTGATCCTGGAGGCCATAGGGAGCCACTGGTGTTGAATGAGTAGGGGAGTGACGTAGTTGGGCTTGGGCTTTAGGAAAGTGGACTGGAGTGGAGAGAGACTCATGACAGGTAGACCAGCCAGCAGATGATTTCGGTAGTCCAGGCATGAAGAGACAAGGGCCCATGCCAGCCTGGCACAGAGGAGAGAAGAGGGCATGTTTGAGAGATACTGGGAAAGGAAAGGATAAAGGAGGGGAAACCATGGCCAGGTCAGATGTCAGCCTCCCCTCTCTCCCAGATGAGCGTTGCTCAGGGAGGGTAGTGGACAGGGAGGGATGGTCAGCCTGGGTCCTCAAAGCAAAAAGAGAAAAATCAAGATCGGGAATTTTGTGGCCGTTGGGATGATAGGAAGCCAAGTATCCCTTCTACTAACAAATGGAAACTCCCCAGTTCTTAACTGTGGCAAGCCAGAGACTCCTTATACCATAGAAATGTGAGGCAGGTATTCAGATGGGGTGAGGAGCAGCGATGGGTGGCCTTGGCCACAGAGGCTACGGGGAGACCACTGTGGGCTGAGAGGAAGTGACCAGAGTCTGTTTGGCCTGCCACCCCACTCTCCAGGATGTGCCCCTGCCCACCTCCTCAGGGCTCAGGGCAGAGAGTGAAACCCTGGAAGATGAGGGCAGGGCCAGGCGGACCAGATCTTCTGCCAGGAAGGGCAGGACCCCACCCAGCTGTGGCTGGGCCCAGGGAGTGACTCAGAAGGGCAGTTGAGGCCTCTGAGTCAGCAGGGTTGGGGCCTTAGCTCAGGGTTGGAAGGGAGGAGAATGGAACAGGACAGGGTACAAACGAGACAAGCAGTCCTAGGGGAGGCCAAGGGTCAGGAGTGGGGGGCCTTGCTGATGTGGGCGGGGTGGGAGTGGGGGGAGAAGACAGGCCCGAGGAGATAACTTTGCAGGCCAGAAGCTTCCTGGTGCCTCCTCCTTTCCCCTAGGTATTCCAGCAAGCATTTCTTAAGCACCCCCTATCTGCCAGACAGGGTGCTGAGAGCTGGGGACAGAAAGACAGAAGGGCAAGGCTCTGGGGGAGCCCCAAGCTTGCGCCCTTCCACAGCTGGAGTTCTTCCTTGCATCAATTCCATACGCACCCATCCTTGTGTTCTCCCCCATGATCTAACAGGTAGGGGTTGTTCATTGACTGTATTCGGACCCCCAGGGTCTCAAGCCAAGCCTGGCACATAGTAAGTGCCCAGATACCTGATTCTCTTTTCTTTCTTTCTTTTTTTTTCTTTTTTTTTTTAGGCAATTGAGGTTAAGTGACTTGCCCAGGGTCACACAACTAGTAAGTGTTAAGTGTTTGGTCTGAGGCCGCATTTGAACTCAGGTCCTCCTGACTTCGGGGCCGGTGCTCTGTCTGCTGCACCTCCTAGCTGCCCCCCCCCCAGATACCTGATTCTGATTGATCTTTGGCCCAAGGCCTGGAGGTCATGCTTTAGGAAGGTTCAGCGGTAGGCATGGGAGAGGAAGTGAGGATGCGCACGCTAAGTTTCCGGTGGGAAGAGGAAGAGAAAATGGCTGAAGTTTGAGTCCTGTTGACTGGTAGTGTGGCCCCAGACAAATTCTTTAACCTGCCTGAGCCTCAGTTTCTTCATCTGTAAAGTAGGAATGGTAATCCTCGCCTACCCCTCAAGGCTGTTGGTATAAAGCCAGAGAATCCATCCTGTGTGTCCCCTGCTCCACCTCACCAGGTAGGCCCCTATGCTGGTGTCGTGCCGTCCTTCCTATCCAGGACCTGAAAGCAAAGGCTCACCAGCCACCCCGGAATTGGGGTGGAGAAGGAGAAGGGATCATGAGCACAGGCCTGCCAGATTTGCGTAGTGCCATTCGCCTATTGACCTAGAACCTTCGAGGGCAGAGCTGGGAGGGCCCTCCGAGGCCTCACCTTTCTTGAGTGGACTGCCAGACCAAGCCTCCCTCTTGGGTATCAGGGTGCTCAGATGGGAAGATAGAGAAACAGGAATATTCCAGGAGCTCAGTCCAGTGAGGAAATGAGACTGAGACACAGATCCCTCTGGTGGCCAGTCAGGCGCAGGGTGGCTGTGAGTGCTCAGGGAGGGAGCTTCCAGAAGGCCCTTACAGAGGCCTGGGCTGGCTTCCCCAAGACGACCTCACAGCCCTCGAGGCCTCCTCTCTGCTCCCTGGACCTCAGTGTCCCCTTCCTCCAGCAGTGCCTCCCCAGGAGTGTGAGAGTGATAAGCAGCTAATCGATCTACTCACTAATCAGCTCTGAGGACTGAGGAGGGCTGAGGAGGACCTGCCCTTCCCAGGTCACTCTGGGGCCTGCTTCTGATTCCAGGAGAATTCCCTGCTACCCGGTGACAAGGGAGAGGGCCGAGGCTCAGGTGCGCCCTTGGAGAGCTGGGTGGTGGCAGAACCTTCCTGCAAGAGCTGTCCAGCCCAACCCGTGGGGGTGCCAGTGCTGGGTGCACAGAGGACGGGTGGGCCTGCATCCCACCAAAAGGGGGCCGTCAAGAGAGCCCGGCCTCAGCAAAGCCAAGTCTCAGGGGGAGAGTGTTAGAGGGGCAGGAGGGGCACTGTTCTCAAGCCAGACCTCCAAGGGCCAGGAGAGGAGGAGGGACTGCATTCTTGACTTAGGGCATAGTCTGGATGAAGGCCTAGAGGCTGGAGATGGAACGTCATGTCCAGGGAACAGCTCCAGAGCAACTCGATCTGATCAGAGACCCCGTGGATGAGGAGGAAAGCAGTGTGGGCCAGTGGTTTGGGGTCAGAGAACCACTTACTCTCTGATTTGAGCAAGTGTGTGGGCCTCATCTGTAAAATGAGGCGATTGGATTAGAAGACCTTTCCAGTGCCGTCCCTCCCGGCTCTAAATAGAGGACCCTGTAAATTCATCGCAGAGGTGAGGGGCTCTGGGTGCAGAGTATTGCATATCCTAGCAGACACTATCATTTTCTTGGTTTTCCTGAAAAGTGTTTCTTTCTTTTTAATATTTATCAAAAGGGAAGCCTTGACGGGGAGGAGGAGAAAAAAGGGCTGTATTTGGAAATGAATGTGGTACAAAAACAAAAGGCATCATACATGTTGAAAAATACATAAGAAATAAGACTGGAAAAATAGATGTGAGCCAGACTGGGAAGGGTTTGTCACTTGGTGCCTATGGGTGTTAGTGAGGCTTAGGCCTCTAGGAAAGAGAGCCCTCCCTTCAGTTTCTCTGTTCTCTAGCATTTTGCACAAAGACCCCTCCCTCACCTGCCTTATAAGCTGTGCCCCATCATTGTGGCTCCAGAGAAGGTGCCAGCCTGCAGTAGTGAGGGGAGTTTCCAGTCCCTGTCTCTCGCCATAGGTACACCCTGTGATGCCTGTGATCTTCCAGGTTGGCATTTGTGGTCAGGATGCCCAGATTGCTCCCCTCCCCCTCCTTTGTCCACTGCTGGCCCTTGGGAGCCTGAGGGAAAGTAGAGGAAGGCAGCAGGCCAGGTTGGGGTCCAGGACAAAGGAAGAGCTAAGGTTTCCTCGGGCTGGTGCCATCTCCCCTGTCCTGATCTCTATCTGTGTCTATGCAGAGTGGTTTGGTGTGGGGTCCCCCATTATATGGGGGGCTCCCTGAGGGCAGGAGCTGCCCTTGGCCTTTCTCGGAGTCTCTGGCTTGCCTGGTACATAATACAGTTATCCCTTCCACATCTCGACTTTCCCCATCGTGGTTTCGATATATCTCGGATGGTATGAGAAATTCAATGGGAATTTGGGGGAGCTTTGCAGAAGGCCAGCAAATGACATAGAATAAAATTTAGAAACTTAGAAATGCCTAAAATATATGTATAGTATTATGTAATATCAACCCCAATTTTACAGTAATGTACTGTAAACACCCCAGGAAAGAAAAAGAAAAAATTCAGATTTCTCTGCTACAAACCAGGGCCCAAAAATTGTACGTGGATTTTCCAGATTGCTGGGGGATGGGGGTGGAGCTGTGCCCCCAACCCCCACCATCTGGAAGAGGTAACTGTAGTCAGTAACGTCCCTCTTGATCACAGATAGATGAGACTGAGCTAACAGGTAATCGTTCACCAGCTCTGAGTCTACCTGCAAACCAGTAGGTTTAGGCCCAATAAGAAACCAACTCTGTTCATGGAGGGGATGAACGCAAACTCCTTGAGGGCAGCCACTCCCTTTGCCTGAGGCCCAAACTCAACACCTCCTTGGCCCAGGTGCCAGCGAGGTGTTTGTTGAACAGAAAAGTGTTGAAATACGATCACGTATAAAAGACATTTTGTAAACCAGAAAAACAAAGAAACGGAAGCACTCAGTTTAGAGAAGCAAAGAACTGCAGCTGGGTGGCGCAGTGGGTAGTGCACTGTACTTGCATTTGGAAAGGCCCAGGGTTCAAATACTGTGCCCTTCCCCTTCCTAGCTGTGTGATCCAGAGGTAAATCACTACCCTCTCTCAGCGTCAGTTTCCTTATCTGTAAAGTGGAGATAATCAGACCTGCTCCCTAAGATAATCCAGGGAAAGCTTTGCAGACTTGAAAGGGCTATCTCAGTATCCCAAGTGAAGGAAAGACAACACAGCGGGGGGAATGGGGTAGATCCATTAAGCAAAAGCCCTTCCTGTGAGTGAGGGGCTGCTCTGGAGGGGAGTTCAGGTTGGTAGACGAGGCTCGAAGTGGCTGGGAGAGGGGCTGGTGAAATGTCTCCGTTGGTTCTGGGTCTGTCTTTGGAGGACCAGCTGGGGAGAGCAGGAGGGGAGGGGCTGGGGCCACCCTGGACTTTTAGGAGCCTAGCTCTGAACACGCCAGAGCAGAAGGCTCAGACCCACTCCCTCCCCCTGGAGAAGCCCTGCCTCCAATCAGCGTGGCAGTGAAGAGAGCCGGGGGAGCCCACCCGGCCAGGCACCTGTCCCGGGCTTCCCCTCTGGGAGCTCTTAGGAGAGGAAGCAGAGGGGTGCCCTTAACCCCGAGGGGGCGGCCGGGCGGCCCTGTGGGGCAGGGACGGGTCAAGGGTGTAGCTGTGCATGTGTGCCCAGGCGTGTGGGGCATGCGGGACTCACCTCCGGGAACTTGCCCTTGGCGAAGACCATCAGCAGAGACGTCTTGCCGCACCCCCCATCGCCCACGAGGACCACCTTGATGGTGGGGACAGCCGGCTCTGAAGGCTGGGGCTCGCTGTCCCTTTGCATGCCGCCCGCCCCAGTGCTGGTCCCAGAGCCCCGTCCTTCAAAAGGCCCCGTCCGGCTCGGCGGGCATCTCTCTGGGAAGCTGTGGCGAAGGCCAGTCCCTGCTTCCTTGGGCCCTTCCCGCTAGCTGCCCCTCGGAACCTCCCCTCGATCCTCTGTCTGCCTCCTGGGGTGGGAGGCTGCAGGGCCAGTGGTGCCGGTCGGCTCCCTGGAGGAGGTGGGAGTCACTGAGCTGCGCTGTATTCCTGGCCCGGCCCCTCTGGTGACAGGCCCTGAAGGCCGCAGGTATGCGAGCTCAGGAATGTGGAAGGGGCGGGCCCCACCTGGAGGAAGTCAGGAAGGTGGAGAATGCGGGGCCCAGCTGCCTGTAACACCCAGAGACACCCGGGCTTAAGGTGTGGCCCGGCCAGAGCTCCCCCCAGAGCCTGCCTAATCCAGCGCCCTGGTTGGACACAATAGAACACTGAGGCCCGAGGAAGCAAAATAGCCAGTACTCGGAGTGTCGTGTCGGAGGGGGTACGGAGCCACTTCTCATCCTGCCCTCCCAGACACTCATTTTACTGCAGAGGAGCTAGCAGGCACCTGCAGGTCTCAGAATGAGGCCCTGGTGCACCACTGGAGCTAGGAGGATTTTAGGGAGTGGGGGGGCCGTCCCTCTGCACCCCCAGATGCCCCCCACCCAGGCAGTTTTATCCATCGCTGGGGCTGGTGGCCAGCCTCCTGAGGAGGAGCCCCTCCAGTGAGCTGTGCTGGGCTGATCCTTTCCAGCTGGTGGGAGCAGCCAGATTGGGGACCCCACCCCAGGGTGATGCTCTCCTCCTGTCAGCCTGTGGGATGGGAAGGGTTCCTCCCCGGCCTCACCATCTGCCCTCTCTGCCCGCCTGCTGGCCCCCTACCTGTTACCCTTCACTTCCCAATGGGGCATTTCACACACACACACACACACACACACACACACACATATCCAGGAACTGAACCCTCCCTTGTATCAAAGAAACCAGCTAAGCAGAAATAACTGATAAGGTGACCTCACCTGAGAGTGTCTACACCACTCTGCTCTAGCAGTCCCAGCCTCAATGACCAAGAGGAAGGAGAAAGGGAGGGACAGGCGGGTGACTGGACCAGTGACTTCATGGCTATAAGGAGCTCCTCCCGATGATCTACATCTTCTCTGATACTAAGAATTTCCATGTTTCTTAGGGCCCAGGGAAGTTTAGTGACTTGCCCAAGGTCACACAGTCAGTCTGTCAGAAGTGAGACTTGAACCCAGGTCTGCTTGGCTCTGAGGCCAGCTCTCTACCCACTGCACCACACTGCCTCTTTCTTATTTGTTAGGTTAATCTTATTCTTCTTATGCAGTTTACTTTTCCATCATAGTCACTTCTGAAAATCCCCTTCCTCCTTCCCATCGTCCCTTTTAACGATTTTAAAGTAGGTAAAAAGCAGTTCAGCAAAACCAGCATGCCCACCATCTCTAAGGGGCTGTGCAGTATTTCATCCCCCTGCAGAGAAGGGCAATTCATTGTGGTCCTCATTGTGTGTTTCAGTTTTTCCCTGTTCGCTCCCCTCAGGCTGCATCAGTTAAGAGAATTCTTTCAGGGCTTCTTGGAATTCTGCCTGGGCTTGGTTTCTCACAGTGCAGTGATACTCCATTCTCTTCATGGCTTAGAGCCCACTTGCCCGTTCTCTAGTCCTGGGGCATCTCCTTTTGCTACCACAAGACGTGATGCCCTGAATGTTCTGTGCTGAGAAGCCCTTCTTGTGTCCCTGACCTCCTCTGACGTGTGTCATTAAGTCTGCCCTGGGATCTCTGGGTCCAAGGGTATGGACGTCTAACCCCTGCCCATTGCATAATTCCAGGTGGCTTTCCAGAGTGCTTGGACAGCGCATTAGGAGGTCTGCTGTCCCCAAGTCTCTGAGAGTCATCAGTGTGCATTTTCAAAGGGCTTCCTGGAGACGGTGCTTCTGCCAAACCCCAGATGCCCTTCCCTAGTTCGTCACGCCAATGCGGGCCAGGCAGGCCATGGGCCGTGGGGAAGACCAGCTCAGATACACACTAAGTGCATGACCACAGGCCAGTCTGAGCCTCATCGCACAGAGCCTCAGTTTCCTTCTTTGTAAAATGGAGACAATAATCCTTAGGATACTATGGGAGAGAGCACTTAATAAAACCTAGAAATACTCTCAGACAAGTAATTGGCTGGCCCCCAACGAGCCTGAGTGGTGACCCATCCTCGTACAGGGCTCTGTGGGTCCTTACCCCAGCTGGCAGGCGGGTGCTGGCCCTTTCCCTGGCCTGGGATCCGAGCTGTGGCAAGCCTGCTCCGCCCCACGACTGTCCTAAGCCGCACCCCGCTCACCTTGGCTGGCCGGGCAATTCACAGAACAGCGGCCTGCGCTCCCTGCTCTGTTCTCAGAGGGACGAGGCAGAGACTGTCTGGGTCACGAGCCTCGGACTAGATGTCAGAAGATCTCGATTTCAGTCCTGACGCTTTCAGCTAACTACCTGTTACCTTGTCCAAGCCCTTTCCCCTGCTGAGGCCTCAGTTTCCTTGGATATAGCCCTGGAAGGGACTTCAGAAGTCATTGAATTCAATGTCCTTGCTTTATGGTTGAAGAAACTGAGGCCCAGTCACATGATTTGCCCATGGTCACACTGTGGGTGTCAGGTCCTCTGGAGCTGGCATTCCTCGTGTCGCCCCCGTGTTTCAGGAACACGGCTAGGGCCTGGGCTCGAGATTGTGCTGCAGAGGAGGATGAGCAGGCTGTACGGACAGAAGTGATGACAAAATCCACAGCTGCATACAACCGGGATATCTATCTACATGATAAATTGGAGATGAATTAAGAGGGAATCAGGAAAGGGTTCCTGGAGAAGGTGGGATGTAAGCTGGCATTTGAAAGAAGCCAGGAGGGAGAGAATTCCAGGCAGGCGGCACAGCCAGGACAAATGCCTGGAGTCAGGAAATAAATGACTTGTTCTGGGAGCAGCCGGGCAGCCAGTGTCACTGGATTAGAGAGTACATAGGGTAGGGTCAGGGTGCAAAGAGGCTGGAAAGATGGGGAGGAGGGCAGATTGTGAAGGACGCTGAAGGCCAAAGGACTTTATTTTATTTATATCACTGGAGTTTATTGAGTTGGGGGAGGGGAGGTGACATGTGTGGCATGTCTGACTCTGCCTGGGCCAAGTCGTCAGAATCCAAACTGTCCTGCTGAGTGGGCCACTTCTGGCCCAGGAGTCGCCTGGAGGGTGGGGCCGGCCCAAGCCAGCACCCAGGTGTGCCCAGCTCAGGCTAGCCTCTAGAGAAGGTGATTAGTCACCTCCCTAAGCCCACGTCAGGTGCCTGGGGAAATCTCTGCACAGCTCCCAGCTTGCCCTGATTGACCAAGGGCTTCCCATGGGTGCCCAGCCGGTTCCTTGAACTTGTTTTCAGTAGGTGGGCAAACACCTCGGTGATGGGGGAGCCAAGGTCCATCCAAGCACAGTTACTGCTGGTTGATTTGTGGATTGTCGGGGCAGGACCAGGGCTCCTCTCAGGGGGGATTGCTTCCTGGGCCAGACCTCGGCAACCATGTAAATGAGATTAGCCCCTCCACAGAGTCCCCAGGGAGGTGCCACACTTACTCCACGCTCCACCACTGACCGTGGCCTCCTCTTGGGGCTGCAGAAAGAGGCACGTAAGGAGACAGGGTCACATCCACCTCCAGTAAAGGAAGTGCGCCCCCCTCCTCCCCAGCCATCTCTCTGTTCTCCGGTGGATCGTGCACTTTGTGGGGGCCTTCTCTTGGCCTTGCAATGCCTCACCTGGAGTCTGCATTCCACGCTCAGCACCCTAGTTAGGAAAGGCATTGGCAGGCAGGAGCCCAGACAGAGCAGGGTGACCTTGACAAGGAGGGGACGGACAGCTGTGCCATGCTGAGGAACAGGAGGCTTGGGGGAAGCTGTCAGCACATGATGGCAAGGAAGAAATGAGTGAATGAGCATTTGTTAGGCCCTTCTTGGAGAGGCAGCTCGGCCTAAGAGCCAGCCTTAAGGCCAGGAAGGCCTGGGTTTCGATCCCACCTCTGATGGAGGCTGGCTGTATGACCCTGGACAAGTCCCTCACCTTAGCTTCTCAGTGGTCCACAGAACTCTCAAGGGCATTGGTACAGGGAGTTGGGGGTTGGGGCTGGGGATGATACTCAGTCAGGGAGCTCACAGGTCCGTTCCCCACCCTGTGGGCCAGGCACTGAGGACACATGGACGTGGCCTCCAGGGCTGGGAATTCACATAGGGGGCTGGGCTTTGAGGGAAGCCAGGGATTCTTGGAGGTAGGGGTGAGCAGGGAGAGCAGTCCAGGCCCGGTGGGCTGCTATGCAAAGGCCGGGAGATGGGACATGGGACATGGGACATGGGACAGACAGTGGGTGGTGGGGCAGTGAGCAGCTGTTGGTCGGAATCTGAATTTGAGTTCCACAGAGCTGGTCCTGAAACTTGCCAGTCACAGCCTGGCTCAGCTGGCTCCACCTCAGGCACTCTTCACCTGGCCGTCTATTGGAAGTTATTTATTGAAAACAAAACGAGGTCAGAGGCCACAGCCAAGAAGCCCGGCTGTAACCAGGGTCAGAGTCATGACAGGCCAACGCGGGCCATTTCCAGTGGCCCTTTGTTGACTGATTGGCCCCAGGCCAGGTACTTAGGGCCCCCACACCACCTAGGCCGGCTGCGGGCGAGGCGGTCCTGTTCCAGGCTTGCGCGGGAGGCGCTCTGACTCCCCGGCTCCCCAGCCCCCCCGCCCCCCCCCCGCTCCCTAGCTCCCCTGGCTCCCCCTCTCCCCAGCCCCCCCGCCCCCCCCGCTCCCTAGCTC